CGAAGGTCTGAAGGGGCGTGGTCGGTGCGGGAAGGTAGAGGTGGTGTGTCTGGATCCATGCCTGACAGGAAGGAAGTGGGTATGCCCACCGTGAGGGAAATGCCCGTCCGCCCGGGGAATGCTCCCCAGCAGCCGCAGCAAGCAAAGCCAACAACACCAAGAACTTCATCTGTAAATCACAAGCGAATACTTACAGAATGACGTAAATAGTCAACAGTTAGAACAAGTCTCCAGTCACAGCGACTTGTCTTACAACTCGTTTAGAGCACGTCCGACTACTGAACATCAGAAAAGTCATTTCTAATTCGTCTTCAACTATGCATTCACGCCACAAGCAATTCACTAATCACCCTCGTTTCCCCAACCGCAATACACGCCTTGTCCTCAAAAGGCTTTCGTTTAAATGGCATCAAAGAGTTGAGAAGCGCGATCTTTCCCAAGCGAGCGGCCGTCTTACCGTGATCGGCGGACGAGCGAATGTGTCGACCGCAAGCAAAGCCGCCCTTTTATATGCAGCTTTTGCCTTTGCTTTGAGAAGGTCACGTGGATTTTCTCCCGTTTGCCCTTCATTCCGTAGCAGTAAATGAGTCTCATTGGAAAATTGTCTGAAATCTAGAGAAAAGATACAGAAGTGCTTTCTCCATACGGACTTCGATGGGCACAAATACCGTTTCTTCTTTCTGCTTCTACCCCTGTCTCTATGTATATATATATATATATATATATATATATATATATATATATATATATATATATATATATGTGTGTGTGTGTGTGTGTGTGTGTGTGTGTGTTGTGTGTGTATATATATATTTATGTATATATATAAATTCTCTGCATACACAATTATATATTTAATTTTGTATATATGTATGTATATGTATATGCATATATATATATATATATATATATATATATATATATATATATATATATATATATATATATATATATATGAAGTTATGTATATACATATATGCATATACACACGCAAATATGTGTGTATATATGTATATATATATATATATATATATATATATATATATATATATATATATATATATATATGTATGTATGTATATGTATGTAAGTGCATATTTATATGTATAGATTAAATTTACGAGATTTCAAAGCTTTATTTTTTCTGATGCTATAGAAAGCTTTTTTCTGTCGAACGTTCATGTATACACATTCATGACTTTTAAATCTTTCTCTACATACACAATTGTATAGATATGATTATGAATATACAAACATAGATACACATACACACACGCACATACGTATATACATATATATATGCATGTGTATGTGTTTTATACATACATTTGTATATTGTATGCATATATTTATTTATATGAAAAATGTATGTACATTTATGTATACACACATATATGACTGTGTTTATATATATATATATATATATATATATATATATATATATATATATATATATATATATATATTATATATACGTGTGGTATTTGCCAGGACATTTCAAAGCTTTATCTTTTCTGAAACTTACTTCCCTGCAGCCTTGTAGAATTTGTCCTGATACTTTGGAAATCTCTTTTCTATCGAACTTTCTGGAACTCTTCGAAAAATTCCTTCACTGGAACACCGAAAAGAAATCCTGGGATCTTTTCCAGAGGATCCTTCTTGGACCTTTTTTTTTTTTTTTTTTTAACTTCCATAGAACTGATATTCCATTAATCCACTGAATTTCGAGTGATTTTCATAACTCTCTCAACATCGATCTTTTGTTCTATATTTTGTCGATTTCTGTCTTTCTATTTTTCTATCCAGGTTGTGTTGCCTCATTTATGTCCCTTTTGTCTTTTTTCTCTTCTTTCTTCTTTCCTTCACTTCTTCCTTCTTGACTTTTCTTTTTCTTTCGTTTGTTCCCTTTGTGAAGCATCGGTACTGTTCTCATCTAGCAAACTTGCTGACCTGCGTTCGATCCCGCGCGCTGCCAGTGGACGGCAACCCCGGCCATTTCTTGCACACAGGGAATAATTTAGAAGCATATATCATATAATTGTTCCTCTTCCTTCTCCCCTTTTTTCTCGTTCCCACTCTTCGTCTCTTTTCTTTTCTTTTCCGTTTTCTTACTCCTTCACCATTCTCTCCTTCCTTTCTCTCCTCTCTTGCCTTTTTTCCTTTCGACTTCCGTTTGCTTCCTCCATTTCCTTTTTCTCTTTTCCTCATTCTTCTTCCCTCTCCTACCCTTCTTTCTCTTTTCCACCTCCGCTCTTTCCTCCCCCACCCTTCTTTTTTTTCTCCTGCTTCTCTCTCGTGTTTTTACCTGTTTATATATCAATTCATTATGGAAAGAAAGAGAGAAGAGAGAGAGAGAGAGAGAGACCAACTATGTGCAGAGAGGATGGGAGAAGACATGAAAGCTTTTCGCTTGAACTGAAAAAAAACTTTTAGAAGTGTCCTTGCAGTGCAATTGCATTGGATTTTCTAGGTGGCATTTGGCAGATTGCTCTTGCATTGATTCTTAAGAAAGACACCTTAATTAGGAAGAAAATGATGTTTGTGTGAGGTGTCATCAAGGGCATTCATTTGATATATATGTGTGCATGTATATGTGTATATGCATGTAAATATATGTATATATATGCATATATACATATATGTATATACATACATACATACATACATACATATATATATATATATATATATATATATATATATATATATATATATATATATATATATATGTGTGTACACATACACACGTGCAGATATATATAAATATGAATATATGCAGGCATACATGTGTACATATATATGTCTATATGTAAATATTTACATATACCAATTTGTACGTGCATAAATACACACAAATATGGTGTCTAGCTATCTATATGTATATATAAAGGTGTATATATAAGAATGTGATTTTTCAGACGTCATGCACTGGTCCTCTGAGGATTCTTAGTGCTTGAGTTTCTGGCCTGTATATTATATATATATATATATATATATATATATATATATATATATATATATATATATATATATATATATATAGTGCGCTCTGTTGCATTCAATTAAAATATGCACTTTCTTTTTGTCAGAATCAAGAAGCGAAAAGTACTCTTAGAGTTGATCATGTAGATTGTGTGAAAACGGAGAGAAAACGGAAATGCAGTTTAAGGAATTTGGTCTTTATTATCATATATAAATACGTATAAATACAGACGTCGTTCGCTCTACAAGAAAGCAGGACGCACGTGCTCCTCATCCGTGGACTCGGGCTTTGCGCTCGCAGATGATGGCCTTGTCGTGGTGGCAGGCGATGTCGTGCCACTTGACGCCGTCGTTGTAGAAGTTGTTGAGAACCCCCAGGCACTTCTCGCCCCCTCGCTCGCGGTTGTCTGGTTGTGCTTGACCATTCCTGGCGGTCACAGGGAAACCAGTTATAAGTTTTCTTTAAAGTGTAGCCTGTGGCTGTGTGAGTCAAAGGAAAAGCCAAGAGCCACTTACCCGCCGGTGTGAGACCAGTTCAGACCCACGAATTGTGCACCTGAATCCCAAGCCCAGTCCAAGCCGTGTCTGCTGAGGTGACCCGAGGTCCAAATCCACGGTAGCAGATCTAAAGAGAACACAAAAAGAGCACGCATTTAGCAAGGTTGCACACTCATACCTTCGTGGACTCGAGCCTCGACACCAAGGCTCGGGTGTGAATCCCGCAACACAGCAGAGGATCAGCTTGAACTATTACCTCCTGAAATGGCTTTGCTGACGAGACTGTCCTCCTCTCGAGTCTCGATGCTGATTCCCTGCCAGCCGGAGCCGAGGCTGCGGCAGTACTGGTTGGCGCCATCCCACGTGTAGGTCTTGCTGCCGTCATGGCGCCACGAGAAGTGGTACTCGCTGTCGTCCAGCCTGTCGTCCACCTGGAGTCGGCCGAACCGCCGTTGTTGTGGGTCGGCAGAGAATGATGTTAGGGCAGGCTTTCGAGAATCGATTTGGACGGCAGAAAATTCCAATGATTCAACTTAAAAGGACAAATACTTCAAAAGGTCAGATGATGGACCTTTTACATGCATATATTCCAATCATTTCAGGGTGCGAAAGCAGTCCTGACTGCAGCGACAAGGGCCTCGAGACTCACCGCAACGCCCGAGGCAGGTGGCTGGGGCACCACAGGATGCACAGGTGCCACGGGGTGGGCGGGTCTGAAGGGGCGTGGTCGGTGCGGGAAGGTAGAGGTGGTGTCTGAATCCATGCCTGACAGGAAGGAAGTGGGTATGCCCACCGTGAGGGAAATGCCCGTGTCCGCCGTGGGAATGCTCCCCAGCAGCCGCAGCAAGCAAAGCCAACAACACCAAGAACTTCATCTGTAAATCACAAGCGAATACTTACAGAATGACGTAAATAGTCAACAGTTAGAACAAGTCTCCAGTCACAGCGACTTGTCTTACAACTCGTTTAGAGCATGTCCGACTACTGAACATCAGAAAAGTCATTTCTAATTCGTCTTCAACTATGCATTCACGCCACAAGCAATTCACAATCACCCTCGTTTCCCCAACAATACACGCCTTGTCCTCAAAAGGCTTTCGTTTAAATGGCATCAAAGAGTTGAGAAGCGCGATCTTTCCCAAGCGAGCGGCCGTCTTACCGTGATCGGCGGACGAGCGAATGTGTCGACCGCAAGCAAAGCCGCCCTTTTATATGCAGCTTTTGCCTTTGCTTTGAGAAGGTCACGTGGATTTTCTCCCGTTTGCCCTTCATTCCGTAGCAGTAAATGAGTCTCGCTGGAAAATATTAGAAATCCAGTTGGAAAGCATTCAGTCTGAAGAAAAGACACTAAAGTGCTTTCTCCATAGAGACTTCGATGGCCACAGAAAAACCGTTTCTTCTTTCTACTGCTTCTGCCCCTGTCTCTCCATGATATATATATATATATATATATATATATATATATATATATATATATATATATATATAGATAGATATAGATAGATATAGATAGATAGATA